CAGAGCTATCTCAACAGCATAAAACAAAGTTGAAACACTGCCAGAAGGTACTTTAACACTCTAGAACGCTAATATAAAAAAAATACAAATAGTTCGAAACTGAACTACGTCAAAGGATGATATTCTACATCTTTGGTCCCTTCAGCAGAGAAGGCTCTGTAAATAGACATTGGTCTCATGTGTATTATTCTCATTCAGGTTAGATCTTTTATGAAGATAACCCACGAATTGACATTCTCTTCCAAACGCTTAACGTTAAAACCTTAAAGTCATGATTATTAATTAAAGATGAACGTTTTAAAGAAGCAGTTGCTCTAGCATTGCAGTACAATGGTAAACTCGGTCATAAAAAATGTCATTTTTTTGCTGATGAACATTAAAGAGGTAAAAATATGTGCATGATTATAAGAGTAGTGAGTTATCTGAAAAAATTATAGGCTCAGTAACTGGGATAGGGTAATTTGGTAAGAAAATAAAAATGCCCAATACTTGTATACTTCATGTCTGTGCATCATGCATATGCAAGCAAACAGTTCGCATGATTATAATGAGCAATGTGCTTTTTAACAAAATTGTGACATTAATATTCTCTGTCCCAGGATGAGGCTTAGTTGCTCAGATATTGAAAATGCACGATGTTCTTTTCCTATTGGAAGAAAGCTTAATATTCAAAACACAGTGCTTAAAAATACATTATATTTCAAAGTCTTAAAAATATCTGGACATCCGACAAAGAAAAAAGTTTAAATTATATAATTGTAAGTATGGGCAATAGGTTCTCAAAAAATGTAAAATGCATGGCCCATTGCTTCAGGTTTTAGGTCCTAGGGTGGTGGCTAAGTTGATCACATATTGAATTTACATACACGTTTGTATAGATATCTATTATTATTTGGTAAGTATATTGGCCTATTGGATCCTATTGGATTTTAAATTCATGTCCAGGGCTCAGTACATCTGTGTTCAGTGTTGAGCATAGTCAGTCAAACATTAAACATCTACCATGAAGTGTCTTTTAAAATGCTGATACATGAATTAAGAAAAAAACCGGCAGGCGCAAAAAATTGCACTAAAACTCTCATACAGAAAATAATTTGATATACAAACAAACGAAAATCTCCAAAATGAAAAAAAAAAAAATCTATCAAAATGCGTATCAAACACATGTTTACTGTATATCGCTTTTTCACATTTTTGAACGAAGCACTTTTGAAAACATCTCGATCTCCATGTTTGGCACGCGTATTTATGATTCATGGACTCATTATTTTTAGAGTCATTTGCCAGTGAAAATCGATATATTTTAGCTCACCTTTCATATACGTGAAAGTTTCCACGTAGGTATTTTAGTATACCTATCAAAGCTTAAAATCAATAATATTTTTATTTCTACCTTTTTCTAGGATATTCACTATTATGCTTTACTGGAACATAATCAATAGATATTTCAAATGCTATTTTACAGAAAAGATATTCTCAAAAAAACTTCATATAGTAATTGTGTTTGCGAAGAATTTGTCCGTTTAATTCAAGTAAATAGTACATGTACTATATGAGTAAAGAAGGAAGTAACAATTGCTGATAAAAAAATTCTATTTTTATAATCACCTTTGCTTCATGCCTCATACCTTTAATCCATTTCCTGAATACATGAAATAGAGATATGCAGCGTTCTCTACAACAGTGTTTGATGTGTATTACAGAATAAATTTAAAGGCTCGCAGAATGACTACCTCAGTGCTTAATGATGGAGATTAAGGTAATCATTTCTGGTTTTCGGCCATAATGTTTTGTAATAGTAACTCCATATCGGTAAAATAAAAAAAAACAAAACATAAAGGCTCAAAATTAAATTTTGAAAAAAAAAAATAAGATGGTAATTTTAAGTGAATTTTAGTTAATACCTTTGCGTATGTCATGAGTTTTAATCGCTGCCAAAATACAACAAACATATTGTTATACGCCAGAATTTATTGAGGGACCTCATATGCTAGTCCATATCTCGCTGTTTTGTCTAGAAATCATGCATTGACGACTTTCATTTTAACGAGAGTTATTTCCCTTTGTGTAGTACATCTAGAGTCGATCGGCATAACCATTTGATCCCCTATATAATATCATTAGCGTTATGAAAGAGACAAATTGAATTTGTATGTATTTTTTTCAGTGTTTTCTTTCCAGATACTATGGAAATACAGGGACGGTGCAAAGGGTACAAATGAGCTTGAAAATGTTCGAAGGTTTAAGATATTTACCAGTAAGGATGTAGTGAGAAAAATGAGCGATTCGCCATCAAAAAGAGGTATATCTTTAGAATGTGAAAGTCGTCTATTCTAGCTCAATAATGTCATAGTGTTTCTGGTACATATGCTTCATAATCTATTGTAAAAAGACAACCCGCATCATGGCTTATAGGCTTGATTGTTTCGTCTTCGTCTTAGAGACGAAAGATATAAGGATTTGAATCCCACTGAACAGGGTTGTAAATATCATATATTTACTTAGTAAATCAGTGTAATAAAATCAAAATTCAGGTAAACAAATTCTTCAGTACAGGGGGAATCGATTTTAAAAAGCGTACACTTGAATGTTAATGTTTGCTACTCATAGGCCTGCTCTTCTTGAAAATATTTTTTTCATTTATATTTCCTTGTTGAATTTTAATTCCTTACTGCTGCTTCATTCTACCCAAGGGGATGGGTGGGGGGTGGGGTGGGGGTGGGGGTGGAGAATAATTTTATTTATAAAATATTATATTATGTTTATATATCTATTCATAGCCTTTTGTTCTTGTTATATATATACAGGTTAAACTTTGCACATGTATTGATAAACTATATCCGGAGACTATAATTCGTTTGAACTTTTGCACAATCTGAGGATCCTTGCCTATTAAGGCAACTAATCGTAACCCTGTATTTCTTGATAAGTTGATGAAACAAGGATATCAACTGTGCCGTTGAAAGTTATCATTTCGCAAATACTATGGTCGATTCAATGACCTTATCAGCAAATACAATGTATCATTAGGTCAAATGCTGATTGACGCTTTTCATGTGAACCAAAGTCTATTCAAAAACTTCCACATGTAAAGAAGAAATCTCTTGCTGTGGCCTTCGGTATAACGTTTAGATACATCGACGTTAAATCAATTAACAATATTTATTTTTCACTCTTACATTGAATCGATGTATCCATTTGAACTCGAAATAAAAGACACCTTAATGTCTGACACATATGTTTCATATTTGGATATTTTACTAGAAAAAGACATCAATCATAACCTAGGAACAAAACTTTATGATGAACGTGATGATTCCAACTTTTCTATTGTCAACTTCCTTTATTTTTTGTATATACCCTAGTATGGAGTTTCAGTTTCCCAGCTGATTCGAAACGCAAGAGAATGTTCAACATTAGAACAATTTCTAAAACGAGACAAGCAATTGATAAACAAGTTGATAAGACAAGAATATCAACAATCTCGTTTATAGTCCCATTTCCCAAATTCTATGTTCGATAAAATGACCTTGTCAGCAAATACAATCTATCATTAAGTCAAATTGCTGACTTACATTTTATAAAGATTGTTAGGTTGTTATTTAACAATGAATTGTCTACGGATTTTTTCGTTTGCCCGGTCATGACAAGTAGCACGTATCGGGCTTACTCCTTAATTGGCGCCTTATCCCACCTCTAATGTTTTATAGGTTTTATAGGTGATTGCTCTGTTCCAAGTTTGTATTTTTCAATGAACTTTTGAGCTTGATTACGTTCGTTTTTCCCATAAATCATCATATTTAGATCAACAGATAACAACTTCATACAAAAAAGAACGTTTCACCGGGCTTAAAAGTGTCTGGGGGATATTTGTAAATGCTTGCTTGACTAATTTTAAATCTTTTAGTGCAATTTCCTATAAAAAATGCAGGAAACATCAGAGTGCTAAATAGCCAGTATCTGTGAATACTGCGAGGGAAACAATAGATATAATTTTTTGGTTCTTGCGACAAACGTACCGAAGAAATTACCTTGGAAAACCGTTGGAATCCTCACCTTTATGATTTTTCCATCTGCATGTACCGGGAGGTAAAAAAAAAAAATATTCGTGAAACATAAAGAAGAAATCTGCAATTTTTTCCGCAGAACGTGCTGTGATCCAGTCTGTTCTATATGCTCATCCACCAAAGTAAAGGGGCATTCCTTCTCACGATCGCCTTTCGTTTCAAAGAACTTGAATAAATGATGACCTTGAGAAACTTTAAATAGAATTGAAAATTATTTATATGAAACTTGAATGCAACAATGAACAGATGTTTTCTGAAGTTCCTGTAAAATATTATGCTATTTGAAAAGCTGTTGAACAAGCACAGTTTATGGAGATGTATTTGACCTATTCTATACAACTAACGATCATTTCTTAGTTTGTAGTACTTACAAAATAAAAAAGAGTTTCACAGTTCGTCCCCTAGGTTTTTGTGAGAAAGAAATTATGTCTATACCCCTTCAAAATCAACCAACATTTATTGAAAAAACATTGATTTATTTAAACACCCTCAACATGTAAAACAAAGTTAAACCACCGCAAGAAAATACCTGGCTGTTATAGAACGCTTATCAAAATGTAAGTAGTTCGATACTGATTATTGTCAAAGGATGAAATGCGACATCTGTCGTACCCTCCCTTCGGGAGAAAGCCCAGTAGCTAGAGGACATGTCTCTTCGGTTAGGTATTTAAGTCGGGTCAAGTTTTAAATGAAGATAATTTTATTAGGAGTAGATTTCGTCTTATAAACAAAGTATTTGGAAATTTTAAGCCATGGGTAATAAGGATTAAAACTTCGTCATCGCAGCACAGTATCAAACTCCCACTACATTTGACATAGACCATATATATATATATATATATATATATATATATATATATATATATATATATATATATATATATATATATATATATATATACGTATTTCTCATACAACAAATCAATCATATTCTTACTGGTAAACCATCGATTTATATAATTGTGAGAAGTATTCGAAATAAGGATCAAAGAATTCTATTATGTCATCGACAATTGATCTTCTGAGTCTATCTCTATTTGTTTCTTTGTATTCTTTTTTTTCTTTCCATTGTTCATAATATTTAGCGGCTTCCTCTTCATCTCGCAGGTATTGTTCTAATTCTCTAAACATTTCATTAGAAAACGAGCCATCAGGTAGATTTTCTACGTTTCTGTCTATCATATCTAAAAGTTGTTTTACTTCTTCATCCCTATCTGCCTTTTCCCCCTTATATCCGAAGGCAAGATATCTCCCATTTACTTGTTTCAAAACTGTATAAAGAGGGGATTCCTTCGGAATTGAGTTAATATAAGTTTCAAATGGCATTTCCTCTATTTCAAGTTGAGCTTTAAACGTGAATACGATTAGCATTACTGAAGTTGCTTCGTTTCCAAAATAGCTCAAAAAGATATTTACTGTCTCGTCAATATTATCCGTTATTCTTCCAATGGGTATTGTTAGAATAATAGCATGAATACCCGGAGACGTAACTGCGTAACATTTAGATATCTCTCGTAAAATATCTGTGTTATCTTTTTTCTTGTTAGTATCAAAAAGTCCAGGTGTATCAATCACTACTAATTTCTTCTGAAATCTTTCTGCAATGCCTAAATTTATATGACCCGTTACAGATTCTCCGACTGGCATCGCCGAAAAAAATTTGTATCCCAAAATTGTGTTTCCAGTAGCACTCTTTCCCGAACCTGTCATTCCCACGAGTATTATTCTTCTTTCTGGTAGATTATCTGAAAATGTTTATCATCAAAAATAAAAAAAAACCTTATAAAATCTACAAAGCGGATAGGAAGCTATCAAACGTAATGAAAAATTGCTCAAAATCTGCAGTTTTCAGTTTCTGAACAATGTCTATATGGTTTTTGGAATTGACAATAAATAATTAAGAATTCTTGACATAAAATCAACGGTGGAATTGCATAACTATTTTTTTTTTCTCATTTGTAAAGTTTATGACCAAAAAAAAAAAAAAAAAAAAAAAAAAAAAGAATACAAAAATCCAACGTCTGAAGAAACCCCATTAAAAATTTTATGAGTAAATTAAAAGAAAATGATGGAGAAGAGTAGAGGACTAATGAAAAAAAAAAATGGATGAATAAATGTAAAAAAATAAATAGATAAATTAGTAAAATAAAAGCATCAAGTAGATGAAATAGAATATAAAAAAGGTATTTCTAAATCTCCAACTTTAAACCATCGAATTTTCACTGCTTCATGAATTTAGGGGTTTTGTATGTAAGAAAAATATCCCATTATAAAACACAGAAAATTTGACTTTTGCATGTTTAGACGAATAAAAATATGAAATTCCACCTTAACTTTAAGTACAGCGATTTTATCTGCTTGGCCAGCAAGTTGTGGAAGAGATATAGCATCTCTTATGTTTGATAGTATTCGGAATTTTAAGTGTGGGGGATTAGAAATGTGTGAGTTTAGAATACAAGCTTGTAGGAAACAATGTTCAAGACAACTCCAATTTCATGTGTGAATACAGACAGGTATTCGTTTGAAAGGAATGCTCGGCATGGGATATCATAATCAGCATCATAAAATGTCATAAATTACGTTTGTAGACATTAAAACTATTGAAAAAAATCATATTTTTTTTCATTAAATGGACCAAATTAATATTTGTCCTTTATGTGTCTTTGTTACGTTATATCTCAACTGAGTATGATGTGTAAAGAACAGCACTATAACAACGTTTCTATTCGAAGAAGAAAAACTCGAATAGCTATAAGTACCAAATTTTAACAGCGTAATTAATGTGAGAGAAAAAAAAACCTCAATCCTCATGCGTGGATTCGGGAATTTTATCCAGGGGATCCATCCCAGTCAAAAGAAAATCCACCCCAGAAATGTTGACAATCCAAACAAAAGAAATAAACGTACTCATTTCCCAAGCGCAAAAAAACACAATTCCTTTGGTGTGAGGTGGTGGTGGTGTCTGTGTGTGTGTGCGTGTTGGGAGGGATTTAAACCGCTGTCCATGATTTCTTAAGCTTCATATGTATGACTCTTCCTACTAACTTATGAGGGATCCGCGTTTTCCGGGGGTGGGAGGTGGGGGTTACAAGGTTACATTAAATATACCTGGAGATTCTTGGGAGGGGTGTGTGTCCCGACCCCTAGCCCTACAATGGATCCGCGCATGGTATTCATGCTCATGTTTTTGCTTACTGAGTCAATTTTGTTATGGTGTTTCCCGATAAACGCCAAACGAATTATAAGCCGTTTTCAAAATCAATAGATACATTCTATACATAGGGATATCATCTTCATAGATCTCGATGTTACGGTACTGTTATGTGATGTATTAGGCACATTTTTTAAATCATCATTTCAATTTATTTCAAATTACATATAAACTGAAATCGGTGAGAATTGAAAGTTCTCTATAAATGTAAATATGCACAAAATCCATCATGCTATAAATGGACAGTCCGAATGGACAGAATATTCACGTTACATCGAATTAAGTAAGCTCGACTTATCCTATTTTTGTTGCTTTCCGAAAAAAAAAACAATGGACGAATAAACTTTACATTAAGGGGAAGTGTACTTCGAAATATAATGTTCGACATATAATGTGTATATTATATGTGTAAAGGTTGAGTGAAAATATCTTTGTTGAACAACCTTGAGCTTGTGCTCTATCTTTTCTTATTAAAAGTATTCTGATTTTGAATCTCTTCCCTGACTTTATTTATATGCCATTAACCTCTTTATGACCTGTTTAGAATCATAACAAGCCACGTGGATTTTATCGTTACGGGTAATTGCCCCCAGTAAACGTGCTAGCTCTCAGTTGAAACGTACTCAGTTTTATATCTGTCAGCATGGACTTGTTTGGTTCATCTTGTTATAGCGTTTTATTGTCAAAGTTTTGTAAATAGAAAATTGTATTTGTAGTTGATTGTGAACATATAATTCATCTTTGAAAGAAACATATCAAGATATTCTTTATATAGTATCTTATCTAAATGTCTCCGCCCATTTCTATGTAATAGAGAAACCGTAGTCTGATCGGAGGAAAATGTTCCGGCATTTTTTTAGTGCGATAGGTTTGAAAAACTGGCTTGTATTTTTGATATTTTTAATTATTCGTTATAAATACACAATGCTTTAATTTGAAATACTTCGTTATACACAATGAAAACAAACAAAATTCCGTATGCTAATATTTAACCTGTAAACCAAGGGTGTACCAAGGGTGTAAAAAGGGACCACGCTACTATACTTAAGTAGAATACTTCTTTACTTATCTTGCAATCGGTTTACAAAATTATTTTAGTTAGAAAACATTTTGATTGTACACACAAGTACTCTGAAGTAAATATTTAAAAACGATGCTTGAGTTTCTGTTTGACGATATCTATATAGTTTTTAGAGATCAGGTCCTCCAACAATCTGTCGGAATTTCCATGAGTACCAATTACGCCCCGTTATAAGCAGATCTAGTTTTGTATTCATATGCAGCATAATTATTTTAAAAACATACAGTGAAGAAGAAGATACTTGCTGTGGCCTTCAACTTTGATATTTCGAGGACGTATCTATCTATTAAAAATAGTTACTTCCATTCATATGTCGACTCGATATATCCCAGTGAACTTGATATAATATAAACGATTCCACAGAGTCGGATACATTTATTTCTTATATTTAGATATTTTACTAGAAAAATACATTAATGATAATGTAACAAGAAAACGTAATGATAAACGCGATGACTTCAACTTTTCCTTCATCGCCCCTTACTTACGTAGCAATATACCCTTATCACCTGCATGTGGGGTTAATGTCTCTCAGTTGATTGACAAGGAGCACAAGGCGGGTGGACCGGTTGGCAGGGAATGCTGACTCCTCCATGGCACATGATCCCGCCAATGATGTTTTAAGAGGTCCGTGTTTGCTCTGCAATTTCTATTATTTCAATGGACTTTTGAGATTGATTGCTGTTCGGTATCTTCATATTTCATTCCCACTGTGGTATTTCGAGGCTTTAAGAATCTGTCCCCATAATAAATTCGTATTTTTTAATATAGTTTTTGTGAAATCATTCACTGTTTGTTATTTTCATCTCATTCGTGATTGACATCACAACAATTTAACCTCAATGTGTTATAACCTTTGGGTTGGAAAAGAAAGAAAAGCATGTAAAATTGCAAATTGAACAAATTTTTGCTGCATAAAAACGTGAAGGTGTGATATTAAATATGAAAGTTACGAGCAAATGTACAGCTGTATGGACTATCGGTGTACGTTCCCAAAACAAGCTAAATAAGGAAGAACACGGGTATTTGGAATACATGCGTAAAATTACCCTTTATTTGTATGTATGCGATGGCTTACTAACTACTAAACATATAATTATGATAATAGCTTACTAATGTATCATTGAAGCATGCTTACCTTTTTTGTCCTCTTCTGGTGTTCTGCTGTTAAATGGGGCTTCTGTGAAGTAAGAGTAAAACCCAGTGCATCATTTTCTAATTGAATATGGTACATGTTTATCTAAATAAATACCATTCACGCATGCTATAAACTGACTATAACGCGGGTATGTAAAGGAAGCATACAGATCATTTACCGGGAAATTTAGACTTTTTAAAGAAAATTAAGTTTGATAATTTATCAAAGTCGCCGATAAAACGTAAACTATAATTAAGTATTGCATAAAGACAACAGAGTGTCTGAGGCCAAGGAGTGCACCACCACGACGTCATCACGTGACTGCTATTAATAGCAAAATATTCCTTTATAAAACAGTTAACAGAACAACACTAACCCGGGGTTTAATAATTTCTTTGAGTAAATAGTATAGTGGAAAAACATCTCTAATGCCTAAAAAGTGCTGCTAGAATCCCACTGTCCGTTCGCACGAAACCTTACCCGATGTATTGCATTAAACACATGTAACCCGAGAAATTTCTTCAAACCATATTTACCGATTCTAGCAGCACTTTCCAAGTATTCAATAACGCAAGCTTTCGATATGTACAAATCTTATGTTTTAAAGTATCCAGCTTAGTGTTGTTCTTCTGCATTAATGTTGTCACGAATGACAGAGGAAAGGCCGACCGGAATATGTAAATAACTGACTGTCTTCAATAGAAAATATAATCGATGAAAATAAATTAGCATACCTGTTTAACAAACTTTAAATTGACATGAATTGCATACAATATTCACTGTATTACCTTCTAAGCCCCCTTTTACGTCTCTTTTTATGTGCCGTCTTAGCCAAATTCTTACTTCACAACATGATGAATTCTCAAGTTACTTGTTGAACATTTATTTCGTCATTGATCGGGAAGTAACAGATACAGTACCGACCAGACACAACCTAACACCAAAGCGAACCCAAAGCACACCCCGGGTTTGCTTTCTGGGTTCGCTCAGGGTCCGCTACGGGTCTGCTTTCAGAAATTTTGGGTGCGCTCTGGGTTCGCCTTGGGTTCGCTCTGTGTTCGCTTGGGGTCAGCTCTGGGTCCGCTGGAGCGAACCCGGGGTTCGCTTTCTGGGTTCACTTTACGCACTCATGCGTAAAGCGAACCCCGTTTTAATCTTGCCGCCAGTAAGCCCCGCCCCTTGCATATTCCAAATACAGCAGTGAAAATCGATCATTT